TTTCCCCCTCCCGCCCCTCTTCCCCCTTAGCTGGGCGCCGCGACGCCCGACTCGACCCGGGACACTCGGACAGTGGTCCCGACGCCTTAAGTGGACAAATTAATGCAGAAATGAGTGCCGTGCCACGCCGCTGGCGACATTGAGCGCGGCCGGCGCCCAGTGTAGGGAACGACCAGCACGGGCTTCCCCGAAATCCACACACATGCCCACACTCATGTACCGCCACGCCCCGACGCCCCGCCACTCACATCCTCATCGTATATCCACCCCCACACTCTCACTCCACCCCACCCCACGCTACCGAACCTTACCCAACCCCCGACCGTACCTTACCTCATGGAACCTTAGGAATCATCCAGAGAAAGTACGCCCGTTCACCGTGACGATTCTGCCAAGTTCAGCCTGTGCGAGCTCTCCTGGTGCCTGATAGGTAGGCAACATCTTGTCCGCAGTGCATGCGTGTACTGCGGGCCGGCCGACACTGAGTCTCGCAGGCGCTGAGCTCCCGCAAATTTTTCGCATGAAACTTAAAAAGCGGACGTACTTTCTAGACGATCCCTTACCTTACCGAAACTTACCCCACGAACTTTAGCTAGCCCACCGAAAGGTATACCACCCCACCCCAAGGAAGGAAACGACAACCCCTTCTTGCAGGTCCCCGCCATGGCGCCCCACTTCAGACAGCGCCGGTCCGTGCTGCTGGGCGGCCCCGGGCCCTCGGGGGCGGGCTCCGGGCGCGGGGGGAAGCGGAGCCTGGTGACGCCCTGCCTGGTGGGGCTGTGCTCCGTGCTGGCCGTGGCGGCCGCCTGCCTGCTGGTCACGCTGCTGCTGCTGCAGCACCAGTTCCGCCCCGCGCCGGCCGCGCGCGCCCCGGGCGCCGCCCCGGAGCGCGACCTGGAGGTGCAGCTCCAGTCCATGGAGCAGCGGCTGGAGAACCACGAGCAGTGGGCCATGGAGCGCGTGCGTGACGGGCTCAACGTGAGCGGCGCCTCTCTGGAGGAGAGGGTGGCGTGGCTCCTGCGGCACGGGGAGAACCTCCAGGCCGCCAGGATGATCCTGGAGGACCACCGGAAGGCCGCGGCGGCCTCTGCGACCGTGGCGCCACCGGGGACCCCCGCCACCCACGACGCCGACACAACCACCCTCCGACCCTCCTCCTCGACTCCTGCCGCCGAAGTAGATTCCACGACGCTCCGGGATCGGCCTGCCGACGCTGAGCCTCTGGAGGACACGGAGACCATCTCCGCCAGCGACGTGGACGATCGGCAGCGCCAGCTGGAGGCAGCGACTGTGGCGCGTGCGGAGGGGGAAGTCCAGCCGGAGGCTGCTTGGCAGCCGGGGCATCCAGCGCCAACCCGCCTGGCCAAGGACGTGCTGCCCGAGCGCTACGACCTGCTGCTGCACCCGGACCTCAAGACGGGCATCCTGTCCGGACGAGTGTCCATCACCTTGAGGGTGACGGCGCCGCGCCGCGACCTTTGGCTGCACGCCGATGGTATGCACATCAAGGAGGTGGAGCTGGCGCTGGTGAGGGCGGACGAGGTCGCCGACGAAGAGTCCGGAGGCTGGTGCACTCGCGCTCCCGGTGGGCTCAAGGTGGAGGACACGCTCCTGTGGCCTCGCACCCAGTTCCTCGTGGTGCGCGTCGACTGCTTGCTGGCGCCGGGCGTTTATGACCTACACGTGGTGTTCTCCGGCTCCCTGCTCGCGGAGGGACGGGGCATGTTCCGCTCAGCGTACGCGACGTCCTCGAACGCGACAAGGTGTGAGGCAATGCAGGCTGCGCATGTCTCTCCCTACCGCTTTCCCTACAGAGCTTTGGCTGCTTTGCAGCGTTATGGAACCTTGTCAATTCAACACTCTACATCGATCTAAATTCTCTCTCCTTCCAGGTATATTGCTACAACCAAATTTGAGCCTACTTACGCACGCCTGGCATTCCCCTGCTTTGACGAACCCGCCATGAAGGCAACGTACAAAGTACGCCTGGTAAAGCCGTCCTCCTCCGAGTACATCGCGTTGTCTAACGGTGATGTCAAGGTATTTGTCAAAAAAACAAAAACAACAAGAAACCTGGACACATGTTTGGTGAGGTGTGTTTAATTTGTATTGTGTGTGCAGAGTGAGACTACAGACAATGCAACCAAGTTGACCACAGTGGAATTTGCGGAAACTGTGAAAATGTCCTCGTATCTGGCCGCATTCATTGTTTGTGATTTTGAGAGACAGAAGGAGAATGTAACCATGAATTCTGGAAAGCCAGTTAATATATACGCTCGCCAAGAACAGATCGCTAACACAGCTGAAGCTTTGGCAGTCGCGAAGAATGTTGTTGACTTCTATGCTTCTTACTTTGATATTCCATACCCTATGCCAAAAGTTGGTGCGTACATGAAATAATTATAATAGAACCTACTTTTAATTATACCATTATTGTACCAATACGTATGCTGTTCTTGTTTTAGATTTGATTGCTATCCCTGACTTTGTCTCTGGAGCTATGGAGAACTGGGGTCTTATAACATTCCGTGAAACATCGGTTCTTTTTGATCCCAATGAAAACTCTCCTGTTAACAAGGAATCCATTTCCGAAACAGTTGCTCATGAGTTAGCACACATGTGGTTTGGAAATCTAGGTATGCTCCAAAGCTACTTGTAAATAAATTCTCTTGGATTTGAGCTTAGGCAAATTGAAACAATGCAATTGATTAGGTAGTTTGACTGACTGTTGTTAATTAATTCCTTTATAGTAACAATGAAGTGGTGGACAGACTTATGGCTAAATGAAGGCTTTGCTACATTTATGGCTCAAAAGAGTATAGCAAACATGCACCCTGACTGGGCATATGTATGTATAATCATTAATTTTGTGGGGGGTATCTGCACATTGGTCATGGTAGTTATGAAGACTATTTTCTATATTTCCAGGGTGATCAATTTGTTGTTGACACGCTACTTTCAGTCCTGATGCTTGATGCTGAACTCAGCTCTCATCCTGTACTTCAAGAAGTATCCAACCCAGATCAGATAACAGAGATATTTGACACAATTTCTTATGATAAGGTGAATCACTATTCATATGTTTTAATATGCCAAACCCTTGATTTTGTGCTTTACACATTATTTTTCTTACTAATATTTAGGGGTCATCCGTCATTCTCATGCTGGAAGCGTTTATGGGGATTGAAAACTTTAAGAAAGGCCTGCATTCTTACCTAAACACTCACCAGTACAGCAATGCAGAAACTGCTGATCTTTGGAGAGCTTTGCAAGACTATGCTCCTCCTGGTGTTGATGTAGCCAAAGTAATGGACACATGGACACGTCAGATGGGTTTTCCACTTGTCACTGTTAATCAGACTGAAGAAGGAAAATATGTCCTCAGTCAGAAACGCTTCCTTTCCAACCGTGAAGCAAAATATGATCCAAGCACCTCCAAGTATGGGTAAGTCACATTAGTTGCATAGCCATTATTTTGACAACAGTTTAAGTCTTCATCAATATGGTGTACTTTTCTAGATACAAGTGGGAAATTCCTATTTCATACTCAACATCAACATCTAAAAGTAATAATTTATTATGGTTGAACTCTGACAAGGACAGGATAACTGGTAAGTGGAGATTATTTCCAGAGACCAACAGTACCTCTATTGTTTTTTAACTTTCTGCTCTGCTCTTTCTCTTGTCAGTTGAGCTGCCAATTAATTCAGGGGACTGGCTGAAACTTAATCATAACCAAAGAAGTTACTACCGTGTAAATTATGATGATAAAGGATGGGCTGCACTTATTTCCAGTCTTACAACAAATACTCAGGTTGGGAAAAGTCTTAATTATTTTTTCAATAGAAGTCACACTGTTTTGTCAGTTCCTGATGATATGTTGTTGGCTTATCAATTTATCTTTAGCAAATAGATGCAGTTGATCGAGCAGGCTTGATCAGTGATGCATTTAGTTTGGCTGACGCTGAAGAGCTCAGATATGAAACTGCCCTTGACTTGACAAAGTACCTTAAGAGTGAAAAAGAGTATGTGCCTTGGGATGCTGCATCAACTGCCATTGGCTCATTAGTGCAACGTCTTCCAGATTCTGCAAATCTTAAGGTAAAATTTACTCTCAAATTTTATATTGTTTTGTATATGTTATCTATTTTCTATCTATCTTATGTTTTTTCTACAGAAATATGGTATAAGTGTGTCTGATCCTATTGTGAAAGAACTTAGCTGGACTGTGTCCCAAAAGGACACCCATTTGACTCGGTATGACCTGATTTTTATGCTTCTAAAAATACATAAGAGAACTCAACTTTACTATTGTGTAAGCCATAATGCTAAATTTTTGTAATTTTGTTTTGTATTTTTTTTAGACGCTTACGAGCTTTGGTGCTAAGCCTCTCATGTTCTCTGAAAAATGATGATTCATTAAATCAAGCAAATACAATGTTTAAGAATTGGCTGAAGGGTGGACAGAAGCCACATCCTGACATCCGCTCAGTAGTGTACAGATATGGTAGGCTATCACAATCTTTCATGTCAAGAAAATTTTGTGTTGTGTGCGTTGGTTAAAGATCAAAACTGGCTTGCCCTATTCTAGGTCTGGGTAATTCAGAAGATACCAATGATTGGGAACTGCTTCTTCAAAAGTTTAAGGACGAAAAAAATACTCAAGAGAAGGTGAAGCTGATGTTTGCTCTAGCTACAACTGCTAATGAGTCACTTCTGGCAAAGTATATACAGATTGCAAAGGATGAATCTGTTATAAGATCACAAGATTATTTCACTGTGCTCAGCTACATTGCAGAAAATCCGAAAGGGGTCCAACTTGTTTGGGATTTCTATAGGTAAATAAGTTATTCCAATTTTCTTAAACCTATCTAATTTCATGTACTTCACACATACTGTATTAATTGATTTGTAGGATTGAGTATAAATATCTGCTTGATCGCTTTTCTCTCAATGATCGTATATTTGGACGGTTTATTGCAAGAATTGCTGCAAAGTTTGATACCAAAGAGAGGCTAGATGAGGTAAAGTCTACAAACTGTTTTTCTTTATTGTCATTTTTTATGTTACTCCATAATAATGTATTGATCTTGATGTTCTTTCCAATTTTTTGTTTAGTTGAACGAATTCTTCAGACAAAACCCTGATGCTGGTGCAGGAGCAGCTGCAAGAAAGCAGGCAGTAGAGGGCGTAACAAACAGAATCAAATGGCTTGATACGCACAAAAAAACTGTTGAAGAGTGGTTAGTGAAGAATGTTTGATAAGCCATACCGCTAACTGTGCAGATGGTTAAGTAACTTATCATTCATCATGAAACCTTTCTGCACAGTGTTGAGTTTAAGATTACTGATTTAGTCAATATGAGACTAAATTAAGACACACTTAAAACTGTATATAGGTGTTTGATAAGACTGATAAAGTCTTAAGTTGACTTTAAATGACT